GAGGTTCTTTTACGTGCCGTAAAGCTACGACACGGGACCCACGGCTTAAAGTCCCTCCCGGAGGACTTGTTCCCTGAATTTTTCCGCCCTTAAAAATTCGACGACCTCCGCCGGGTATTTGAACCCGCGTACTACGAGTCATGAGGTGGGAACGTTACCTCTAGACTACGGAGGCCGCTTGCCTTGTAGGTATAACTTAGAGGCCTACCATTTCATGTCGTGGTGCCTAGGGTTAGAGCCAACTTCACCGCTTTCGTGCATCCTTATTACAACCTCTCAGCACATAAGGTAATATCTTGAAGAGCTTACCTAGGATTATCCAGCACTTTCTTTAGGGCAGAGAGAACTGTTAGTTTCGAGATGGAGTGGTAGTCGAGTGTGACAGTTATGCCTTCTGACATGAAGCATCTGACGTTGTGGAACTGGTCACCAAACAACGGTATGCCCACCATTGGAACTCCGCTGTAGGCAGCTTCCATGCTTCCCATGAGGCCGCCATGTGTGATGAACACTCTGACATTAGGATGACCTGGCACAGATGAGATAACTGAGCTTTCAAGTACTCGCCGTTACAGGTTGCCGTAATTATTGTACTCTTTTAGCTTTGCATATATTACGAGGCCCCCTCGTTGATGTCTCCAGCTTATCGTGGTGCCAAGGACCCTGAGAGCTATACCAGCGGTAGCGTAGCTACGGGCAGGGCTTCCCTTGCTGGACAGGTCAAAGGGTAGGCATCAGACGAAGAGAGAGGCCAAAAACCAAAAACTGATGCCGAAAGCAGCGTCATCAGCAGCGACTTGAAGCACAAGCAAATGATGCTCGAGATGGTTCAAGTTCGTATAGCAACAGGCATGACCAGAGTGGTTTGAACGGCTGCTGTACTGCGACGTGGAAAGCAAATGGAAAAACTACCACATTATCACTTTTCCTGGATAGTCTCTTTCCAAAAACAGAGACACCATGCATGCGAACCAGAAGACGAGGAAGAAGACGTAAGAAAATGCTGGATGACCTTGGGGAGAGAAGAGGATACTCTCATTTGAATGAGAAACCTCTGGATCACATTAAGTGGAGGAACTGTTTTGGAAGAGGTGTGGACCTGTCGTCTGACAGATTACTGATGAATGAATGAATATTACGAGGACTTGGCGTATGTCGTAGATGCTCAGGTTTCCCGCATCAGGTTACAATTAATTATCTGTCGCCATAAAAAGAACAAAACTCCGTGGTGTGTAGTCCGCCAGTGAACTATACCGACCGAGCGACCGCCTCTTATTGGAGAAGTTAGTGCCAATTTTGCGGATATAGGGTGTCGCGTGGTCAGCGCAACGGATCCCTACGGCCGTTTATCTCGGTCTTCTAGACCGGAGCCGCGATATCCATGAAATAGCTCCTCCATTATCCTCACGAAACTGAGTGGACCCCCTCCAAAAAAAAAATCTGGTAGCGCCGGGAATTGAACCTCTGCATTAAAAAACTTAAAAAGCGGCCAACGTCCACAAGGGCTGTACAGACATAACTTCTTAAAATCTGCGCGCTTCTTGTATATTACTAACAACTGAAATATTGTGGGTTTAATTACTAACTTCGGCCAAGGTAAACCCATCAAGCTCTTAACCAAAGCTTGTATCAAAGAACACAAAATACTAAAACAAGAAGAAGAATTCAGCTGTATATGAGGACGAGTAGATCCATGCAGACACATGGATAGAAGTATTAGCACATCATGAATACGGAGCATCTAGCGACATACGAAATCTTTCAGAATGGGGCACAGATTCGTAAATTACATATACCCAGAAGATGACAACTGAAACGATGCCGCAGCCTAAACTGACGCCGGCGTAGATTATGGCTCTGACGATGGTCATGTGACCATTTTTTGGATCACATCAGATTCTAAGGCACAATATTATACATTATCCCAGTGGTGCACCAGGATGAACCAACAACGCAGGCTCCTTTAATACTTACATTTGAATCAGTTCAATACTTCAAATCACTTATTTTAATTCAATCAATTGCAATATATAATGCGAATTTTTGATATCGATTAGCCTGTCATTTTAGTTACTAAGGAGTCGTTTGTTTATGACTCAGATCATTTGAGTCGTCTGAATTTTTTCGTCTAAACTGAATCCCTCACCAGTTCATTTATTCACTTAACAGCTATCCGCACTGGAAAATTACCAAGAGTAAAATGTGTGACAGTAGGGTTTCCGGAGACTTGATCATATATATTGAATAATCAGTCTAGGAAAAATTCTTCTTTTCTTATGTGATTTATATCAGATTAGCCATCAGATTGGCCGTGGATTGTACAGCAGTATTTTGCTTGCCCATTTATATGTGTTGTTGAAACCTTCCTTACTCTAGCCATAATATTTTGGGCCCCTCAACAAGGCTAACGTAAATAAGTAAAGGAGAAGACGTTCGATGCTTGATTTGTTTACCCCCCCCCCCCCCGACTTTGAGATTTATTAAAAAACGCGCTCTACGCCTCGTACAGATATGTTTTTGGACAATATCCATCGCCTTGTCTTATCTAAAAACCGCCTGCTTCTTTTTCAAAACACATCATCATCATCATCAGTAATCTGTCAGACGACAGGTCCACAGTCTCTTCCAAAACAATTCCTCCACTTGATGCGATCTAGAGCTTTCTCTTTCAAATGACAGTATCCTCTTCTGTCCCCAAGGTCATCCAGAATCTTCTTACGTCTTCTTCCTCGTCTTCTTGTCACTTCTATCCGCCCCTCTATCTTTCCTTCAATACCTTCTTTTAGAAGGCAGTTTCTACGTAAAACATGACCAATCCAATTAGCCTTCAGTTTTCTTATTTCGTGTAGGACATTCCTCTGCTCACTGACTCTAATTTGTGATCCAACAATATTCTGATATGGTTCATGTCCAACAATTTCAAAACACAACGTTTCGAAGACTGGATTTTGTCTCAGTCTTCAGGTAAGACCTACTCAGTTGGGACCAAGCGAAAGAACTTGATAGAGACAACATGATGGATAATGTACAGAAACACAATATCTGTACTACTGTACCATCGTCATAAACTTTTAGATCTTGTGCCCGCCTCGTCCGAATCTTCATGTCCGACTACTTACACAGTCAGTGTATGGGATACTGCAAAGAGAACTTCACAGATAATTTCTTATTTTCCTTCTACCTTCTATTCACATTCAGATTTAACTAGTTTAAACTCATAAACATTCAGAGAGCCCGTGTTTGCACGGATGAGTATAATTACCCAGAACATCCATTTGCGGGAGCCAGCGAACTATCTTGACGTTCTTGGGCTGTCCTGGCAGCGTATCTCCCTCCCACTTCCACAGGACTTTTTGCGGAAGCTCGGAGAAGGCCTGTATGAACGCATCGCGCTTCTGAGGTGGGAATGTTTCAGCTCGAACTGACGACCCGAGACTGAACACTATAACACCATCTTTTGCTCCATCCATGAAATCCTTGAGGTCCTGTGACACAATATCCCTTCTTAGAACACAGTCTTCCTAATTATTTAAGGCTAATATTACTTAGGCCTATAAGATAATAATGTGTCTTTCTAGGCATATACAAGGGCACATTTCGTCGGTACCTTATCTTATAAAAGAAAAAGGCCGTGCTTTGGCTCAGGCGGGTAGTCGCCGGCCTCCCACTGAGGCGGTCCGGGTTCAAGGTCAGGTTATGCGGGATTTGTGGTGGACAAAGTGGCACTGGGGTAGGTTTCCCCTGCCAAATCTCATTCCACCGACTGCTCCACAATCATCATCATCTATGATCCGTGGCTGGTACAATAGGCCAGTTAGTGGCCGACGTAACAAGTGGAGTCAGTCTCGCCCCACCCTAAGAAACTAAAAAAAAAAGAACTACAAACAACAAACAAATGCCTTATAGTCATGTTACAACAGGAACATCGAAAGAGCAGATAATGATAAAATTTTCATTTAACTAGCAAGTTTATTTACGTCCATGAAAGAAAATATGAAGGGTTGTTTTTGGTCACATCTGAAGACAGGCACATTAATTCTTGAAAGTAAAGGCACTGAAAAGTAAATGGTGCAATTCATGCATGCATATAAATAAGTGTCCTTGTGCGAGAGTCAAGTAAAGTTGGCTCATCTCATTAGCCGGAGTACCTGCTCGTCAAGTATTTCACCACGAAACAGAGAGAGCCTAGCCGTACAGTTACATGAATAATATTATGCTCTGCCTTCTTCCTGTATCTCAGAGACAAGATAGGTCAGTGTCGCTTTAATAAAGGGCTTCATGCCCATGCCAGTTCATCAGTGGAGAAATAAAGACAGAGTGCGGGAAAGAACATTGTCATGTATAAGGTGTTAAGCGTGACTAATGATAATGGGTTCTGGATTAGACGAACAGATTTATTGGACACTCAGAAGACTTAACTACAAATAACTAAAACAATTACATATTACTGTAAATAAAACTCGCAATATTAAGTCTTCAACGTCTGCTTGCTAGTGGTTGCTTGGTAAGGAATCTGATCTTGCTAACACGTCAACTATTGAACTGTCTTACGAAGGACTGACTGCCTTGAATGACGCCTCTCTGTCGAATGAATTAATGAGGAGTCACCACGGCCCTTATACTCGTACAGACTAGTTCGTATCCATGAAAATCCAATGTCATGTATCCGTTATCAGGAAAACATGCTTACTGAAATGTTCGCTGCTAAGCAACCAAAGTTGTATTGTTGACTGCCCCTGGCATGTGTATACCTAGAAACGGGGTTTTCTGGCTCCATAGCTTAATGCTTTGAGAAAATCAGTCACAATATCAATGAACATCCCTCCCGCCC